CTTTCAGAGAATTTTTTCCTCGCTCAACACAACTTCCACTATTTTCCTTTCGAGCCGTTCGTAACGGAGCCGTTATTATCAACAAGTTACAAGTGAATATGTGTAAGATAGTGATTAATCTACCCTCAGACATCTAGAAACTGTGCGTGAACCCTCTCACTATATACCTGCGGCAGGGACCCGTGTCCCGGAAAACGCAGAAAATATATTACCTTCATGCGTGGCTGCACGAGAACACAGAGGGCCTCGAGAGGGGAAGAGTGAATTTTTCCGCTGGGAAACGAGTACCAATAATCGTTTTTTCAAAGAGGGTGAACCGACCAATCTGCTCTCCCCTCTTCAGCCCCCGGTGGCGTGATTATTGAAACATTAAAGGGCCCTTGCTCAAGTTAAGCGCGCTCAATTTTACACTGAACCTCCTTATCGGTCTCTATTCCCACGGATTAAGCGCATAAATATTACGGTAATTTGCGCTTTCTTCAGGGTCTCTGCGGTTACTATGAGAATTCGCAGCGTTGACAATCATCTCCAGAGACGGTGTATTTTAAAGATGCCCTAACAATTTTAACAATATATAATCGGGCGAGTAAAATGTTTTGTTCGGAGGTCAACTGGTTCAGATATCCTGATTTATTATGCAAAAATTCGCCCAGCAGAATGCTTCCCCCGACATTCCTCAGTGATTATTTGATGAATTTCACAATCAACAAGTTGCTCATAAGTCATTACTTGGCGGAAAGTAGCTTTGACCACCACTACCCAAACTACCAAGCTACTTATGTGGTTTGCGATGTTTAAAAATCTCCGAACTCATTTTATTTTTTTGAAGTAGAACAAATTAATACAAATCCCTGAAGTTTTCGCATAGTTTATTTCGGACAGGGAAGATAAATCACTGAAGTTTGAGAAGTTTTTCTGTTTTAAAAATGAAGTATGGCAGGAAGTCTGCAACGTCGCAAACCGAGATACGAGGTCTGACAGCTCACCCTTGGTATGGAATTTTAGAAGCCTCAGAGCTTTCCTTTCAAAGTAAAATTTTACGAGATTTTTGGGCCGAAAAAATAATCTTAAAAATTTATAATATTAATTTAATTTGATAATTCCTTAAAAATATATTCCTAAAAAATAATCTTAAAAATTTCGATTTTGAAATTTTAAGAATTTTCACTATCTCTCTCTCTAAGTTACATTTGTTACTGACTTTCTCGCTCCCTTTACGGCTAGAGAATTATGCCACCGACACCCTCTCAAAAAAAGAGAAAAAAATATGCATACTATTCGCTTCGGAAAAGATTTTTGGTATTCCAATCAGTCAGGTACTCTTTTAATAATCTTGACCGATAAAATGACAATTAATTTTTATCTCAAAAGTCCAAACCAATCCAAGTGGTATATAATGAGAAAAGTCACGCAAATCCATCTGTGATTTCTACTCTTTCTCACGAAACCTGACAGCGCTGCAAAGTTTCGTTTGATGAACAAAAGCTGTTACTTCCAGCATTGTTAGGCAGTGAATGAGAGTGATTTTAAGGTTGTGAGAGCCCTTTGAATTTATTCCGCCTATTAGAGGCTTTAAAAGGGAATGACGGTTTAAATAAAAGAATATTTCATCATCAACGGCCCGTCGTTGGGTAAATTGTTATGTCTGAGAAAATTAGCCAAATAACTAAGCTCGGCTGCTCGACACTAAACCATAAACAGTTACGGCTAATCCAGGGCAGTAGCGCCGGATACCTACCCACCGAGGAAACCCTTATTGTGACGCGTCGTTTCTGGTTCGATTTCGTTTCATCTAGTGCTCGAAGGAACTTTGCTTCAGAGCTATGAATGCTACGATATTCGTTTACTTTATCGTGTTTTAATCTCGTCGACAAATATTGAGCCTCCTCCATACGTAGATTTTTTGGAAAGCAGATTTAAATTATTTTTCTTTCTTCTTCTGCTCATCTTGTATGAAATTCTAGTATGTGGTGTAAATGATACAGGCTGTCCTAAAAGTCCGTAGGCCTTTTACCGGCAACGTTTACTCCAATGAACATTTAGACGAAGTAGGTATGATTGAAAGCACTACACAGCATGTATGCACTTAAAAATTTCATGTGAATAACAAATCACACAACGAAATGACTGGGAATCGAGTTTTATAGAAAATGCGAGAGTTTTCAGTTAACATTGGTTAAATGGCAAAAATACAGATGGCGTTATGTGTATAATTTATCTTCTATTCGCTCTGTGTCAAAATTACTAATTGCAATCTCGTTCAGACGAGTATTTTCGGATTTCTCATTGTGTGAATCGTTTCTACGTGAGATTTTGAAGAGAAAACAGCCGGTTTTAATATCTATTTTAGGCCTTGTCTAAAGGCCCATTGAGCTTAGGAAACGAAATTTGGGGATTTTTAAGGTCTAGAACAATTGTTTTTCCATACTCAAAAATTTCTGTCATTATTTGACCGTCATTTTGAAATAAATGAAGATGTCGACCTAATACTCGCGCCAATTTTTTTTTTATTTTTTTATTTTTTTTTATTTTTTTTTTGCGCTTTTACCACTTTTTATTGTTCCTGTTTGTTTCAGTGGACGCAATCGATCCAACAGCCGAGGTTCTCGCCTGCGATTCTCTGCCTTGTTTAAACGGTGGACGGTGTCGCAACCTTCCACACGGGCTCTTTGAATGTATCTGCGAGGAAGGCTATCAAGGAACACTCTGCGCAGAGATCGCCGAAAGAAAAGGTGCGTTTACTCTGACAAATTAGACTCCAGTGAATTTGTTTGATAATGTCATTTTCTGTATATAAACACTGACCAAGCTTTTGGATCTTTTTTCATCCGCGATTATCTCGCATGTTCTGTTTTCCAGAAGGATGGATTATTTTTAGAGCGGCTTAGGTCAAAGTAAGTTTTACATGAATTAGGTCAAAGTAAGTCATCAGCGTGATTTCAAAAACGTTACTTTTTTAGAGCCCTTTTTTCTTCAACTATACAAAGTAACTTAAAGTTGTAGTAGACAGTATGAAATAGAAAGTCTCAAGTCGAATCAAGTTTAAATTTAAAAAAAAGCTGTTTTGAATTTTATTCCCCCATACACTCAATATTGAGAGCAAAGCTCAAAGACTATTTTCATACTTCATTTTTCTCGACTTTGAATTTTTTACAGTGGAAAAATTACGGCTATCGTTAAATTCAAAACTACCCGCAACCCAATTTTTTCAAAATTCGTTTCTGCTAAACTTGGTTCATTTTATCTATGTAAGATGATCGCGCGTTAGGAGCCATTAAAAACGCCTTCATTGGTTCGTGTATATAATATGATGTACAAGGAAGTTAAAATAATTGCTCGAGGTGTAGACTACTGAAAAACTGCTGTCAAGGCTGCATTGCAGTCTGCTAAACTCGCTTCAAATATAACGTGTGAAAAAATGTACCATCGTAAAAGTGCATCACATGTGTTTTTCTATTTCAGAGTACAAAATAGCTGCTTTTAATGGTCAGTCGTATGCGCAGTTGCATAGCATCAAAGCGTACCATAAACTAAGCATCGAGATGGAGCTGAAAACGTACGCAAACAACGGTATCCTCCTTTACGACCAACAACACGAGGATGGCACTGGCGATTTCATTTCACTCGCCATCGTCAACGGGTAAGTGAAATAAAGAGAAATGAAAAGCAGAAAGACTGCTCTCACCTCTGCTCTGTATGCTCAATCCTGTTACCTTCTAATTTGTTTTCGTGTATTTTCTCATTATGATTTTTCATACATGATTTTTCATTTTAGATCGAGCACAAGAAAGAAGCAAGAACCAAAAATTAATCTATCACTGATACTACCGTGCCATAAAGAAACGCCGAATGGACTTTCAGACGTTTACAAACCTTTGATAAAATACAAATTGTCAGGGGAATGTATGAATATTTTTCCTCCACCTTGTACAAAATTTTATTTGAAAGCAGATTTAAATTAGGTATCTGGAAATTTTAAAAGAAAATTCGTAATTTTCCCTCAACAATAAACATGTTACTACAGATTTGGCCACTTTCGAATGTCCATACGTCGTTTTTCCTTTAGCATTGTTGATTAATCCTGAACGAAACGTAAACTAACTCAGGAGGGGAAGTGAAATGGACTATTTTGCAATTTGGAACTAGAATTTCTGGCTCATCCGTAAAAACTTTTAAGGGGATAGGGAAATTAATGGTACACGCGTTTTTTCTAAATTGAACCAGAATTTGTAGCTCCTAATTGCAAAATGTGGTCTAAATAATCAGTGTTGCACGTACATCAGAGGCGAAAATCGCTCTGCAAAGGAGCCGAAAGAACGAGTTGGGAGAAAATACGAACTAAACGTAAAAGATCCTGAGTTGGGTTTCACAAACCCTAGCCTCTGACTTTTGAGCATTGTAAACCATTCAAGAAAAATTCAGTAAATCGAGAAAATTCTGTCACTGGTAAACACGCCAAAACCCCGTCCTCCCCGGGGTGCATTTTTTTACGGAAAAATCGCGATCCATTTAAATTCAGTTGCGATTATTTTACGATTTTTTTGGCGATAAAATCGCTAGGATCATTAACATTGGAGCAATTATCCTCAAACTTGTCGCAATTTTTTCTCTATATAATCACGTTCGATGAAGTCGAAATATTATCTGAATTTATTATTTTTTCGGTGGGATAATATTCACTGGTAAAAAAAACCTCTCGGTTCAAGAGTGCAGTTTCTTGTCGCCGGATTTAAGAGTCTGGACTCTTGTTTCAAGCGGATTTTGAATTGAATCAATGCAAAATCAGCTTAAAACAAGAGCTCAAGACTCTTAAATCCGGCGACAAGAAACTGCACTCTTAAGTCAATGCACCGCGGCATTGGTTCAAGAGGTTTTCTTTTACCAGTGTTGCGATACATTTGCGCTTTATTGAAAATTTATGCGATGAAATCGCAATTTTTTAACCGACAGTATTGCAATAAATCGACGTCGAAAAAATCGCGATACATTTTCTGATCATTACTGCTACTTAATGGGTCTGCGTTCAAGACTTGATTCCGTAAATTAACTCGTCGACTCGTGTGTGCGTTTCAGATTTGTGGAGTTCCGGTACAACTTGGGGAATGGACCGGTGGTGATAGTCTCGCCGCACAAGGTGACCCTTCGGAAGTTCCATCGGATCGTGGCGAAGCGGTATCAGCGGGATGGCCTCCTGCAGGTCGACAGCGCCGAACCCGTCGCCGGCCAGTCCCTTGGCACCCTCCGAGCTCTCGACCTCAGCCAGGACGCCTACGTCGGATTCGTCCCCACCAACGTCTCGAAGTAAGAACCTCGGTTGATCCTATTCACGAAGCATTTTGCAACAAAAAAGTTGCGATTTGGACCCTTCGTCCAACTTATTCAAGAACATTCGCTGCAACTTAACCTCCGAAGACACGAAGATTCCACCATTTTTACAGTGCTTTAGTCCTGAGTCCATTTTAATTTTTCGTATTTTTACTTTTCACACCGTGAAAAATGGCAAAAAAATTAATTTTCCTTTTGCAACATAGAATAGAACATGAGAGCTTGGCTTCAAGTTATTCAATTGTGTCAGCGCAGCGCTCTGGTGATTCAAATTAGAACTTGAAATGGAGAGTCAATTTGCCACCGGGTCTCCAGAACTACTAAAATACATGACAAGACGTCTTGCATTGGAGATTTAAGAGGTTAAAGCGTTTTTTTTAGGAACCTGAAAAAAAAATAACATTAAAGTTAATTTCCTCGATGGATATACATGTTCATTGCCTCGGTTGGACCTATTCTCAAAGCGTCTTGCAGCGAAAAAGTTATAATCTGAACGCTTCGTCCAACTTATTAAAGAAAATTTGCTACAACTTAACCTCCGAAGACCCCGAAAATTCCATACCATTTTTACAGTGCTTCAGTCCTTAGTCAAAAAGGAAGGAATCTCCTTTTCTACCCGTCCTCCTCCCCCCCCCCTGGCGGCGTCTACCACCTTTTACTTCCGCTATTTTCGGCTGTTTTCCGCTAACGATGTCATGAGGACACCGTTTATACTGCATCGTGGCAACCATTGATGACTGCTTCCGAGACGAGACCTGTTTAAGACTATTTTTGGTTATTCTGAAGTATCTGCAACTTTTCTCTTCTAACAGGGTGCACGAGAACATCGGGACAAGTCACGGGCTAAACGGGTGCATCCGGCACATGAAGATCGGCCGTCATACGGTGTACCTGCACGGCGGCGAGGACCCGTTCATCGTGAAGGTGAACCAGATCGAGGATTGCGGCGAGAACCCGTGCTCCAGCGCCCCGTGCCACAACGGCGCCACCTGCAAACCCCTCGACGCTGAGAGCTACGCCTGCACCTGCCCCGACAGCTTCACAGGTAACTCACCTGTCTACCTTTCTGTAACCCCAAAAAGAACCCCTAACTCAACGGCTGTGCGAACATGAAAAAAATTCCGCCGTCCAAGTTCGAAGGACATCCCTGGACGTCCTTATTTTGTCCAGATGAGGTACGCGATGAAAGTATTATTGTGGCTACGAGACGTCTGGCTCCATGTTAATCGCCACGGAATTTGGAACATTTGTTCATGAAGGACTAAAAAATTAGGGAGTCAAATTCTTTGAACTTTTTTGCTATGTGTAAAATGTAAGCTCGAAATGTTAGCTTACATTAAGTACTGGCTCTTTATTTCTCATACTGAAAGGATTAGATCAGTAAAACCACGAGTTGGTACTTAGAACCAAGTCATAATTATGAACATCATTAATCTGATGATCTTGCTGCGAAAAAGAAAAAAATAATACAACAAATTATTCTCTTGGTCAATAGGTGTTCAGTGTGAGTCTAGAATGGACCCGTGCGTTTCCAACCCGTGCTCCTTTGGGTCAACCTGCGTCTCTCTTCATCAAAACGGTTTCACCTGTAAATGCCTGCCCGGCAGGAAAGGAAATATGTGTCAACATTGTGAGTAAAAATCAAATTTTTTCTTCTTTATATGCAGATCTGTGTATTTACATTCAACTCGCATACACCGAAAAAAAAAAAAATACATTGGATTTAGAGTCCAGACTTTTGAAAACGTTGACAAGAAAAATACTCTTGATTCAATCAGATTTTTGCTTAAATCAAAAGGAAATCGCTCAAATTACGAGGCTTGGTTCTTGATTTAAGCAAAAATCCGATTGAATCAAGAGTATTTTTTCTTGTCGATGTTTTTAAGAGTCTGGACTCTAGATCCAATGTGTTTTTTTCCCCCAGAGTAAATTTTTTAATATACCTAGTATTCTAAGTCCTAGATGTTGCTGAAAAATGAAACAAGCAGTTTCCTCACATTAGAGTTGAAGCGCACGCTCATATCAAGGTCTATATTACCTGAGGTTAAATTGATTTTGGAAAGGAACAGAAACTAAGTAAATGCATATATTGTTTTATTTGGTAAAACAGATAGAGCACTATATAGGTCATGGCAACCATCTTCTATTTTGGAACTTTGAAAATTTGACCAATTACTCGAAATCCTTGTCCAAAAATACCTCCTACCGATGCTGAGTTTCACAAAAATCGATCGAACAGGAGCCGAGATAGCATGTCATGAGACGTCCGCCATCTTGGATTTTCGAATTATGAACATTCGAATGAAAATTTGAATTTCCTGTCAAAAAATACCGAACGGGCGCGCGCAGAAACTATAAAAGTTTCAAGAACATGTTTTCTTTCAGGTGGCCACGTTGAATGGTAATTCTTGCTTTTCAAATCAAAATTGAGGCTTGATTTTTTGTCATGGACGTTTTAGCCACTAAGTCGAATATCATTTGGGAGAGGGAGAGGGGGAGGGGGTGTCAGGTGTCACCCTTCTCTTACTGTCAGCTGAACCCATCGTCCCTCTATGAAGTTAAATAAATGTACACTTTAAAGTTTAATCACCAGTCTGTTCGCCATCAAAATAGGTATTTCTGGAGACTTTAACGAACGGCAACAAAAATGAAGTAAAACTTTTGTAACCTGTTTGAACTTTTACACTCATTACACTCTTTCACTTCATTGGTTTTAGTTGTATTCTCTATTCTGTGTCTTGTTTCTTCGAGGATTTTCCTTGTATTTATTATTAATTCTTATTTTTATAGATCTTGTTACCTTTTTTCTTCTTCTTTCCTTTTTTCACTGTATTTTTGGCTGGAAGTGAGGGGATTTTGTAACCGACGATGTCCGGATTAGGTTAGGTTAGGTTAGGTTAGGTTACGTTAGGTTGGGTTAGATTATATGGATCAGTTTCATATCTGTCCTGAAAAACACTTGTTACAAAGTGAATGGATGAAACTAATCGTGCTCGGTGGATGTCCGTGTTGCATTGAGTTGTTGGCTTTGTCTTGAATGGAGATGTTGCATGTGTGAGAGATTTGCGATTTGACTGTTGTTTCTTATGGAAAAGTTCGCGAAAAACACAATGGTGCCACTGGTTTTCTCTGAAATCATCTCCCAAGCTTAAAAAAAGCTCTCAAAGTAAGGCCAAAATGGAGGGGATATCCCGCCTTACCCTGAGAGTCCACCTCTACATCAAAACAAAATCTCCATGCAAAGATAGAGAGCAAATACATTGACAGGGCTGCCACTTCATTTGGGAACTCCAAAACTGAAAAAACGGCAACCCTGCCAATGTATTTGCTCCCTATCTTTGCATGGAGAGTTTGTTTTGATGTAGAGGTGGACTCTCAGGGTAGGGCGGAATATCCCCTCCATTTTGGCCTCACTTTGAGAGCTTTTTTTAAGCTTGGGAGATGATTTCAGAGAAAACCAGTGGCACCATCGTGTTTCTCGCGAACTTTTCCATAAGAAATAACAGTCAAATCGCAAATCTCTCACACATGCAACATCTCCATTTGTCTCGACTGCGTTTGAAAATGGGGCGGCGTTCGGTGTTTCAGTCGATCCGGATCTGGAGGACTTCTTCACGCCGGAGTTCGCGGAGGAGAACGCGTACATCGAGCTGCCGAAGCTGGAGAACGCGGGGCGATCCTTCTCGCTCGAGGTTTGGTTCATGGCCAGGGAACCCGACGGCGTCATCCTCTACAACGGCCAGATGACCAACGGCAAAGGCGACTTCATCTCCCTCAACCTCGTCAACGGTTATCTCCAGTTCCGCTTCGACTTGGGAAGCGGCATTGCCAACATCACGTAAGGCCCTCCCATCTGTTAATGTCCCCTAAAATTATATATTTGCGCAGACCCAAGTAGCAGTGATCGCGATAAACAGCGATTTCATCGGTTGGTTATCGCGTGCATATCGTTGGCAATATATCGAGATATTATCGCATTAAAAATTGCGATGTACCTTTGGCGATTAAATCGCTACACATCGCAATTTTTGGTTCGATAAAATCGTGATCAATTTTCATCGATGAAATCGAGATTAAATCGACTTTTATCGATTAAGTCGCTACTCATCGCAATTTTTATTTCGAAAATATCGTAGTAAATTGTCGGGCGATGATCATGGCGTTCTTATCGCCAGTAAAATCGCAACTTATAGCGATTTTCCCGTTGAGAAATACTCCTTGGGGAGAGGAGACAGATGTGATATTATAAGGCGATTAGGCCCTTGAAATAGAAACTCTCAGAGAGTGAAGAAAAGAATCAGCGTAATCATTCAGTGGAAAACAAAGAGAATGTAAAAGCAGCCCGAAACGGAAACGACAATCGAAAACACAGAAAAATGCGGAAACGAGGCTAAATACGGGAAATTTGAAAACTCGAATTAAAAGTATCCAACCATTATTAAATCTATTCCTCTGTATGTATACTTACCAATGTTAATTGGACGTATTTCTACCAAACAGACCTATGTGGAGGTGAGAAATATGGGGTGTGCTCGTTGAAGCTGCATAAGAAGCAATGTAAAAGTGGGCGTGATTCCTTTTGTAGAATTGGAAAAGCGGGATATTACATTCTATCAAACAGACCTATGTGCCAACTGAGTGCGGGAGTCATGAGCCGCGGGCATGGCAAAAGAGCGTTGTGGACAGAGCTCATGAGTTAAAGACTATCCCTCTAACGATCTCCCCCTCGCTCGAGTGCGCACTATCATTGCCGCTGACGTCACTGGCGCTTTATTATTCCCATTCACTCTTACGCAAAGAGAACTAACGAGCACACCCCATATTTCTCACCTCCACATAGGTCTGTTTGGTAGAAATACGTCCAATTATTAAATCTCTCTTCTATATCTCTACTTAATTCTGATGACTAACAGAGTGTTCTATGATGGGATTTCAGGACTCCGGAACCGATAAGCCTGAACGAGTGGCACAAGGTAGAGATGAGTCGCATGGATCGGCGCGGGGTCCTCCGGGTGGACAACACGACGACCGTCGAGGGCACCTCTGGCGCCCCGCTCAATGAACTCAACCTCGAGCTTCACCTCTACGTCGGCGGGGTCCCGTAAGTGCATCGCTCATTCAATTTTCATTTTTTTTTTCATTTCAATTGGAAAATTTGTCAACTCTTGAATTAATACAGTCTCAATTAATACTATAAAAGAAATTAAGATTAAAGGAGTGCCCAAAGGAACTAAATCAGAAAAACATTTGCTATTGAAATTAAATCAACCCAAAACTAAAAAGGCCAACCAAAAAGGAAAACCAAAGCTAACGGAAAACACAAAATGTGGAGAACAAGAGAAAATATAAGGAACCAAACCTAAAATATTAATAAACAGCGTAAATAAAAATAAAGAGATAAATATACAAACTCTAATTTTTATTTTATTATAATGATAAAAATTGATAAATTCAGTAGTTAGAAATTGCAATACAGATATATATAGACAGACAATAAAAGAGTTTAAACACCAGAACCCAGAAATTCTTAATAATAAGAAAGCGGCGTTCTTCCTTAGCACGGCAGAATGGGAGCCATATTTAATTATGTAACGCTCCAGGAGGAGGGGGAGGGTTATGATCCTGCGTTACGATGCGTTACAAGAGAGAAAGAGGGGGCCTGTGCCAGCGTTGCGTAGCCCTCTCTATTCTGCCGTGCCAAAGAAGAAAGCCGTATGAGCCTTTAGACATTGCCATATATCCTTCAACAAAAAAGGAATTTCTGGGAAAATTGTAAATATTTTTCTTCAAATTTTTCAGAAAATTTTTTTTACAGTTCAATCTAAAATATCTGAACACATTCGAGAAAAAATATGCATCAATTTTCTAAAAAATACGTGCGTTATTCGGAGAAAAGTAACTCTCGAATGTTTCTACGGTGATGGGGGGGGGGTGGTTAAAAATGCCGAAAAAGTGCGTTATACAATTTTTATACGCCCCTAATTGGGCTGTGCACATTTATTTTTGATTGACCACATAACACTCAAGTCCTTCTTGAGACACATAATTGTACGTATTTCTGTTAGACGGAACTATGTGCATTAAGACATGAGCCCTGGGACCCATAAGAATATATGCGCAACAGGGCTCACGCCATAATGCACATAATATCGTTTGACAGAAATGCGTCCAATTATGTTCAAGGCAATTCCTATACGTTGTAACAGTCCCATCTGCCCAATCTATGGCCCATTTTTTAACTTTTCATTTTAAAAAATGTAATAACTTGGGAGACGTAAAAAATCATGGAGTGGACGATAATCTGTTTGCGCAGGTCGCTGTCGGAGGTGTCGCGAGAAGCCGGGATCACCGCGGGGCTCAACGGGGCGGTGCAGCGGGTGCTGATGAACGGGTTGCCTATCCGGCTCTTCAACCGGCGCAGCAACCAGGTGGCCAAGTACCAGGGCCCGCCGTGCTCCGTCGTCGACAACCCCTGCCTCAACGGCGGCCTCTGTCTTCCTCTCTTGTCTTCCTTCGCCTGCAAGTGTCACCCGCCCTTCATCGGCGCCACGTGCCAACAACGTGAGTCACTATCCTCTCCTCTCCTCCTGTGTCTATGATCGTCACCGGAATGTCACCGCTGCACTACCCCTCTCACTGGACGAGCGATTTTCTTCGCCGTCATCCCCGTTTTTAAACAAGGTTATTTCCATTGATCAGAGGCGTGCGCGTGAAGTGCTTTGCGATACATCGATTGATCTGTCATTTAAACCTGTAGAAAAATATCGATAAAGAGGGTGTCCGCAACGAACACTTTAATAATCGATTCTTTACCATAGCATGAAATGGGGAAATATCGATAATCGATAGATAACGCCTCGACACTGCTATTGATTTGTGACTGTCCGCGAGATATTAAATGGCCGGAGCGTAACAAGAAGAAAATGCTTCGATAGATTGTCCCAAAACATGTAGTTTTTCGGATTCCAAACTTTCAACTTTCACAGCTCCAATTTGGTTTGATACTTAATTTTGTGCCAAAGTATTCGCGGGAATACTCTTCTAATTATAGTGATCAAATATTTATTTCCAGTTTTTCGGTACGAAGGCCCCTTTTACCTTAAACGGTCTCTTGTACAGTGGATTTCGAAAATTTTGAGGGTGGCGTTGGCATATTTCCGGTTATGGGGGAGGGAAAAATATTTGATGATGAAACAATGAAGGGTGCCATTGTGGCGGGGCCAGGAATAATTTCATGAGTGCCAGATTATGCATTTCGTGACAGGAGGTAATTGAAGGGGCACAGATTGCTGAGGTGAGGCTAAAGGGAAGCAAAACATCAAAAATTTAAAATCTAAAAATGCACAAAAATCGAAGATGAAGTCTCCCGAAAAGAGGGACAATTGGACGTATTTCTATCAAACGGAACTATGTGCATTATGACGTGAGCCCTGTTATGCACATATTCCTATGGGTCTCAGGGCTCATGTCTTAATGCACATAGTTCCGTTTGATAGAAATACGTCCAATTGATTTAAGGGGTAGGGGATTAAGAATGATATTTTTTGTCGCAGAGAAACCACAATTTCATGGAGAAGTAAAGGGAAAATCAATGGTTTCTCGTGAGTAAGTACTTGGAAAGATCCCCTGCAAAAATGAGTGCAAAAATTTAGAGTATTAGAGTTCAAAATTTCTCTTGACAACGGCTCTACTTAAAAAGTGCGTGATTTTTTTATGGTGCAAATCTTGTACTCGTTTAAAGGGTACCTAGGGAAGAGATTTTGTTCAAAACATGGAAAACTCGAAATAATACTTGTCATCCTAAAGCCCTCGTTGGCAGAAAATCGCTCTTTCAAAAACCTTTTTCAGCACTTACATCCACTATGCGCCACAATCCATTTGTTTTAAAACCTGTCCGCTCCAAACATCACGTATTTTTCAACTCTAGCCACCAGGTGGCCTAAAGGTCCAAAATTAATTGAACTGCCAATCCATGCAGCTTTTAAGTATCTAATAACCGTGTGAGGATTGCCAAATGAGGAAAATTAAAGTTCAGGGGTTTTAACTTCCAAATAGCAAAAACTGCAAGGGTGATTTTTTCCCTTTTCCATTTATTTCAGTTTTATACTCGTTTTAACACCCCCCTTCCCCTGGGTCACTTGCGCTTCAACTTTTTTTCTAATTGAGAAATTGTTGTCTGCCACATGGTGAAACCTCTCAAGCTAGAATTTGAAGCTATTTCCCGCGATGAAATATTTCAAGTTGACTCCAAACCATCAATATGAACGTTTTTACATGAAAGTAGGTACTTAAAAGCACCCTCTTCAGGCTATATACTAAGACGATGAGAGACAGGAGTTAAAGAGACTCAATCCTTAGATGCCGGAAACTTTATTTATACGCGAAGTTCCAAGTCGGGTCAAATTGACCTCCATTTAAATATGGTGATTTCGATAGTAAAGTATGATCTATGTTATTTTTCATTTTCTAAAAGTAAGGAATACTTTTACTGTTTTAATTTTTACCTTTTTGGCAACATACTGGCGTTTTCCATACCCCCCCTCCCCTCCCATCCCCAGAAGAGATAATTGGATCAACATGACTCATCGGCTTGGGGTCTCTGGGGATATTACCAAATGTAAAGGCGTGCGCCCTTTATGGCGATTGAGAGACCTCTAAACTTCTTTTAAAAATAGTAATGGATTTGAACCCATCATAGTATACTTTAAGCGAACTTGGAAAGGGATGCGCTTTGATGAAGGCGCAGGGAAACGGCTATTCGTGCTTGATGGTTGTGCGTGATGCAGCTGCAAAATTGAAGGCGCGAGGCGTGAACATGCAATGATCCGCTCTGAGATGTCGCCTCAGGGAGAAAAGTTAAAGAACGAGGCTCTAGCAAGTTTCTCCTACCTTCGGCTGTGTTCACATCAGATTTCTCCCTTTTTTCATTCAATTTAATGTCTGATTATTCATTTAGGATGTATTCGTAGGCCTGGATCTAAAGCTCGTATTTACCGCACTGGAAAAAAAACACATTGGATCTAGAGTCCAGACTCTTAAAAACATCGACAAGAAAAAGTACTCTTGATTCAATCAGAATCTAGCTTAAATCAAGAACCAAGCCTCTTAATTTAAGCGGATTTCGTTTTGATTCAAGCAAAAATCCGATTAAATCAAGAGTATTTTTTCTTGTCAATGTTTTTAAGAGTCTGGGCTCTAGATCCGATGTGTGTGTTTTTTTTTGTTTTTTTTCCAGTGCGGCTTTATAACTTCCCTAGAAGAGATGGTCGGGTCTCTCGGGCCCGGCTTGGGATTTCTAGGGGTGGTTGTCAAAATAAAAATACCCTGGCACTCGATTTTTTATTTTCCATTCGATGTTTGGTTTTTTGTTCACGATGTACCTATTTGTAGACCTTTATCTAAAGCTTGCATGGACCGGCGCCCTTGCAATCCGTAGGCGCGTGATTTTTAGCAAGCCTCGAGCAATTTGGACCCTTCTTGGGCATCTAAGGGTTGAGACTAATTTTGCTATCATTAACTTTTTTTATTTTTTTTAACGTTTTCAAGAATCTAAAAATATGACATTAAAGGCTCCTCAAAGTTACGCAACACAAAATACATCGCAATTTTTCTTTCAGTTCAGGGATAGATGCACTTACTTTTGTAGCTTAAAATCTTGATTCGTCCGGCTGGATTTCGGAAGATCAGATTTCGGAGATACACATGAATTGTCCGCAAATAAAGTATTGAGTACCTATGCAAAATCATACGAATGCGCGACGTCTCTGACCACTCATAGCACAATATCTTTCAGATCAAGCAGTGTTTTATTTCATTTTCGGTTCCCGCACTGTTTCGTTCTGTTATATCACGAGAGTTTTAGATGACATTTTTCCGGGACGAAATTCAGCCGGAAAAAATCTACTCTCAAACACACGATGAAAGAAATTTGTTTAAGCAATTCATGTCTTCGTCTTTACTGCATTTTTATGCAAGCTATGCTTATTGGAGGGTTTTTGCCTAAAAATGTTTATTGAATTCCTACAGAAAATCCAGAACTTGAAGTAGCTGTTAGTTTCAATGGCGAAACCTTCTTGCAATACCCCAAAAAGAGTCCGTCCTTGAATAGAAGGTACTTATTTTCACTCCTTTGTTTTTGTCCGGTTTGCATGATTGTGCTTGGTGCATGTAAATTATTTTGTCCCGCCGGTTTTTTTTCGGTTCCTAAGTTTTTCTTCTTCTCAGAAACACCATTTTTATCACTAATAAACTAAAATTATTGAGTAACTACCCGCAGGAATTTTCTCTCTAAATTGGCTCTTATGAGTCCGTATGAACTGGAGATCTGTGGGAACTTAATGAAGGATGGAAAAAACGTTGATTCTACGAAAGAACGATGTTACAACATGCGTTACACTTTCAACATACCTTGTGTTACTTCATTACAGAGGCTATTTCTCATAATATTCACGTTTCCGGGATAGTTTCGCCGGAAATTGTTTTATTTGGGTGCCCACTCAAAGTTCTACTCCCGAGAGATCATAACAGCAGCCTAATAAGGGTCGATGAAAATTTAAATAAGACCATGGAAAAAAAATCTAAGCACCAAATACCCTTCCATTTTTAGCCAGAAAAAATAACTTAAATTAGGTACTAATACTTCAAGCTGGTCCGAGGCTTTCTTATGAAGATACCGCAGCATAAATTGCTGTTATAATTTCAGAGAGTCAAGGCAGGTTGCGGAACCTCTGCTTTTAGTGGGGTACAGAAGAAAAGTCTTCTAAAATACTTTTAAAAAAGAGAGAAAGAAACAAAATAGAATTATAATTGTTCTATTTGGCTCCTGAAGTCTTGATCAAGTTGGAAAATGATTGAACTACGAAGCTCGCACGAACGATCACTCTCGCAAAAGTTTATCTGGAGCAAATGTTGCAACATTGCAAAGGGTGTATCGCTCAAGTCAGGTATAGTTACATAATTATAATACCGAATTACGTTAAAGTGTAAATTGATAGCCCACCAGGAATGTATGTATTAACGGGAGTGATGTTAGAAATCGGCAGTCAGGTAAGTTGCATGCGTCCTCGCCACACTCAAAACTCCTTCAAGTCTTAGGATAGGCAATACCGCAATACTACCAGGTTAAAATAGTTGTATCATTTAAACCAGAGTTCCTCTTCTGATGCATCTCATCTTTCTCCTTCGGAAATATTTGAATCGTCGTGTCAGTAACCATTTTTAGATTTCCTTTTAGATAAAAGATTCAATTTAAAATCTTAAGGGTCTGCAATTATAAATGAGTGAGTATTGAGGACATGAAATTTCATCACCCCAGTCCCTGTTTTTTCTATTCAGTGGTATTGTCAGAGGTAAATTAAGTGCTTACTTGATTAACTTTTTCTATCATTATCAACAAGTACCTCTCTTTTCTCTAACAATATTCGGCTGTGGAGCATAATATTAAACGCTTTTTATACGCCGATGATTTTCTCCTGTAGATAGCGTTTATTCCGTCCTGAATGACATGTTTCAAGTGTTTGGCTGCAAGCTACCTAATTTTTTGCAGACATAATCTATTGAAAATATACTAATTTTCTTTATAATTTACCTACTTCAGTGCATGAGTACCACACTGAATCAACTAACAATATTTTTTTCCTCCTCCAAAGAATAATAATCCAATGTTTTCAATATTCCAGAGCCTCTCTCACTGACAATGAGATGGATTTTTTTTTTACTAAAACCCTGGTATTTTGGAATACAACAATGTAAATATTTGCCTATTTTTTCTTTGAGACAATATACAATTGCTTTCACTAATATTTCTTGCCTCCCTGTCAACTAACAAAACCTTTGGTGTTGCATGCAGCGTCGCTAACTCATCTGATCTGACGGAAGTAGTGGATCTAGAGCGTACCCTGGATCTGTACGATGATTTCGAAGAAGAGGAGGACATGTATGACAGTGATGATACCAGTTTCTTCAACGATGAGTACGTTCTTCCACATTTTTCATATGCTGATCAACTTTGAGTCCAAGACTTACTCGGCACAATGATCTGGGTCAAAAGTATGGGATCAAGTATAAGGAATAACAAAAAACCAGATAAAGACTGAGCCCGCATCATTACTGAAAACGGCAAACTGACTCTCGCAATGCCATTTTTAGAACAATTTCACAACGCATCAATTGATACTGCACATTGGAAATTGCAAAATCATATTCTTCCCCTTTTTCTTGCCCTCCCCTACCCAACAGGGTCAGTCAAGCTTCTATGTTCTTAATCCCTTATATTCAACCGCTTGCCATTTCAGGTTTCAACTTTCCTCTCAACTTATATTCGTCTGTAACGATAAACAATGGGACGCGTTTGCTACGGCGCCTTGATACAAATACATAACCTTGACGGATGTCCGTATTGCGTTCAAAAATTTGAAGGCGTTTTGACTTCCTACGCGTAATACCTGTAATTGATTCGATCGACAAACGTGTTGGATGTCCGTATCGCTGCAACTAAAGTGCGAAACCACGTATCTCCATTGCGGTGTTTCAAAATTTCCGTTCTTAATTCATCCCTTCCATGAGAAACAAATCAAATTCTCGACTTTAAACTTGAACCAAATCTACTGATATCGAATACGAAAAATCATGGAGAATTTAAGTTGTATGTCGACCAGCTTCTCGAAAGGAAAATAAAATTTCTAAAGAAGTCTGCAACGTCGCAAATGGAGAAACGTCGTCTCTCATTTTGAAAGAAAAATATGTATGTATAAATTTGAAGGCATCGTGACTTTCTTCTCTCAACTTATATTCGTCTGTAACGATAAACAATGGGACGCGCTTGCCACGGCGCCTTGATACAACTATACAACCTCGACGGATGTCCGTATTGCGTGCAAAAATTTGAAGGCGTTTTGACTTCCTACGCGTAATACCTGTAGTTGATTCGATCCACAAACGCGTTGGTCAGCGGCGACGGGGGCTTGATGCGACTATTTAAACGTGATGGATCGCTGCGACTATCGAACAACATAGTTTAACAGTATACTAACAATTTATTTATTTTATATTTATGTCTTCGTAAAATGGTCTGTTTTCTTTTTTATGAGACTTCTCATAAAGTTTCTTTTCAGGAAGTTTATATCAGTTACTGCTTTACAATCCCTCTTATTTCCATTTTTACAGGAATTAATTAAAATTTAGTGGCAAATACCTGTAGTATTCATGCATATTTTTCGCTGGATGAATCGATTAATTTCTCTTTTAGGATCTAGGCAGAAATCAACCATAGAATTACCTAATTTTCATTTTTACATTATAACATGGTTTATCACCATGTATTTGCATGAATGTTTTGAGCATAATTACTCGATTACCTAATTGTTTTGCTAAGCAGAAATCTTCTTAATGATTTCTCAATTATCATTTTCATTTTATGTATACACCATTTATGAAGTTTGCAGCTCTTAACAAGAAGACTGACTCCTTTCTTTTGCTGTTTTATAGGCGCAAGGGAAAACGGACCAATAAATACGAGTTGTCGGTGAGAACAACTGAGAAGAATGGACTCCTGCTTTGGTCAAATAGGGGTAGGAACAACCAAGGAAATTATTTTGCCCTGGCAGTTGTGGATGGTGCTGTTGAGCTGAGTTTCAACTTAGGCAAAGAACAACGACTGTTGAGTGCCAGGTCAAATGTAAGTAACGAATCAAAATGAAGCATGGAATCAACTTTACTCTCAATTGATTAGGAAGAGTAATTTGCTCTGAAGGCTTTATGGCCCTCTGTTTTTAACTTTAAATTTGTAAAAAGAAATAAGAAAGCTTATATCTGACTAAAGAATAGATATATTATTCAGGATATTTATCTTCTGGGACTTTATTTAGAGCTGATTTATACTGTTCCATAGCGAACGATGTGATATTTATACCGACATGTTTTTCTGTGGAATAAAAGAAGTCATCGAAATTGTTCCGCTGATGAAGATCTTTTCTCCCATTTCATGGAAATTATTATTTTTTTTGTAGGTGTACGTGAGTGATGGTGTGTGGCACAGCATAACGGTTCAACGCAGGAAAAAAATGGCCTTGCTACGAATTGATAACGAGCCACCAGTGCGGATTCAAGCAAATGTTGGAGCTGTTGTACTTTCAAATAATTCTAAACTCTTCATTGGTGAGTCACAGAGTCTTAGTTTTAGCGCAGTAATTGGATGCATTTATGCTAAGAGGAATTTAAAAAAATAGTTGGATCAAGCATGGCCGGATTTACCTACTTGCCGCCCATGGGCCGCCTGTATTTTGCCGCCCTCTTCTCATTCATTTTGTAACATCAATGAAACCCATCAAGCAGTGAACGTGCCGGAGGGAGGAGGGTGCATAAGACGCGTTCACTCGTGTTGGACACATTTTTTTGCGTAAGCCCTGTCAACACTACTCTAGCAAAAGTTCACGGAACTTCGCGCGAAAGTTCAGTTCCGTAAACCTATCTCTGTGTGGACAAGGCATTTCATTTGTAAGAAATGAACTAAAAAATTAAGAATGAACAAACATAAATGTGGTTTCATAATTCTAACTTCCACCGCCGTGCCGCGCTGACCACACTGTGTTTGGCGCAATGCGTGAAGTATTCATGTAGTCTTGTAGGCGCTGTGCGTTTCACGCCGCGCCGACCGCTGTTGACCGTACTGTGTTTGACGCAATGCGTGAAGTATTCATGCAGTCTCGTAGGCGCTAATATGTGTTACATGCCGACCGCCGCCGCGCCGAGGGCCTCTCCTTTTCACCCCAAGTCCTCGTCATGATTGCTCTCTGCGCCGCGCCGCTCCAGGCCAAATTACGTGTTTGGTTTCCCTCTTAACTCAACTAATTAAAGGTGCGCAGTCTTTTGTATCACCGAAATACGACAAAATTAGAAATTTATGAACTCTCAGGAAATGAGAGATTTTGTCACCTTTTCTTGTTTGTAATTTTATTCTGAGTCCGATTTTTTTGTACCTGCATTTAAAAAAATTGCAAAATTTGCCGCCATGGGCCGCGGCCCATGTGGCCACCCCCTTAATCCAGCCCTGGGATCAAGAGGAGTTATCATTTCATTAGTACTTGTGGATTGCATTTTGCAAAAAGGAACCACTAGTATTGCAATGATGCTAAGATTGTGCAAATTCATCTTTTGCAGTAAAAAAACTGAAATCATGAAAACAGATGAAATTTACATGGTAATTTTTGTCTTAGATTCACAGTTTTCAGCGAGTAAAATAGAAACTGTCAATGGGTAATCAGGTTTTCTTCCGAGAAAAAAGAAGTTGCACAATCTTAGCAACATTGCAATGCTCGTGGTTCCTTTTTGCAAAATGCAATCCTTGTAATAGTTGCTTTAATAGGATACATTCAACTCTTAAGTTCACCAGAACTGCTGCTTTCCTATAGAGTCAACCGAAGGGAAATAAAGAATGGATTTCATTGGCGAATCACGAAGGAGTCATAAAATCAGGCGATTAGGAATGCTCATCAGAGCACACAGAGATTTATGCATCTTCATTCTTGATGATACAAAAATTTCTCCAATTTTTTTCCTAGCTTTCTGGATTGGATTTTTTCTAAACTTTAAGCAATTGATGATTTTTTTCTGCAGGAGGGGCTCCATCTCTACCAAATGGATTACCGTCAGCATACTATAGTCGCTACCGCGGCTGTTTGCGAGGCTTGACCACGGACCACAAAATCGTTCACTTGCTTAGGTTGAGCGATACTTTACTACAATTATGCTACGATAATGATATATCCTAGCCTGGGAAGTGGTAGGTGAATCAGAAAGAATTTATACATTAATTATAATTTATAATTAATTTTATTTATAAAGGAACATACTTATTATTTAAAACAAACCAGATTCATTTGAAAACTACAATTTTAATCATATTTATCTTTACAATAATTTTTATTTGTTTTAATAGCTTAAATTTATAAAGCGTGATACTGAAGCTATTAAGATAATTAAAAATTTTAAAACAATTGTTAATTAAATTAATTATTTAGTTTAACAAAACACTATTTAAGAAAGTTTTAGAAAAGTATTTAGTACTTAAGAAATTTCTGCAATGGTAGAACAACCCAAAAAGCTGTTAATTGCTTTTCAATGCCTTCATTTGAACAGATAATGTTTTTAGAATGTTCATACCTCAGTGGATGAAAAAATTCACATTCATTTTAAAGTAGAAACCCATGGGGTGACTGATTTAAAAGGAATTAAGATTGTCAAAAGAATTCTAAATTTTCACTCTGACTTTACTTTGCAAGGAGGAAACTGAGTGATATTTGTCTTTTTGTGGTTTTTTTTGTTTAAATTTTGAAGAGATAGTTCTATAAAGTGCGTAAAATTTAAAGGATTGAAAATTTAGGGTGTCCTTTCATTGACTTCAAATGTCGTGGCAGTAAGTTTGTGAAAAAGAACACACTTCCTACCACATTTGATTTCAATATAAGGACACCTTGAACTTTTAATTTTCTTGAATCATCCAAAATCATATGCTAAAAATTTCATTAAACATGAAATTGTTAATACATTGTGTTATTATGTTTCATACAATAAGAAAGTTAGGGTAGGGATGTTTTAAAATGGCAATGGTAAAATGTGTCTCTACTTTCATTATTATTCTTATTTCTTTATCTCAAGAGCTTATCATGATGTTTAGATTCCACAATCCACAACAAATGAATTTTTGCATCTCTAAAATGCGACTAAAGGTATACAATCTTGATAATTGTATTTTCTGTCAGTGCTAAATGGAAGACGGCTGATCTACTATTATACTCTGAAAAGGCAATACTTTATTTTGGTTGGACTCTATTTTGGTTTAACTGGCTCCAGAGGATATTACTTTGTGCTTGCAATTCACGCCCATTCTTCTTCAAAATAGCTTGATAATAAACCCTTATTATGAGCATTGGCAGCATTTTCACTGCTTTTTTTATGTTTATTTTTCTGTTCCAGATGAAGGAGTGCTCTAGATGAAGAATATTGTGATACTTTTCCAGCAGTTATGAATTTTTGACTTCTATAAAGTGATCCACCATGTACAGTATTAAAATATAATTGCCATCCAATACGATATCTCAGTTTTTGCTGTTGTGCAGTTCATCAAGAATGCAACAAATAATTGTTTGTTTAGCCTCTAAAAATGATCCATGGAAATAAATGTACATGTATTGTAAGTAAACTGTAAGTAGGTATAAAAATTTTTGTCAAGTCGGAAGATCATCAAAACAGTGCTGCCATTCAGGGACTAATCGCTACGGGTTCTAAAAAAAGAAAAAGAAAAAAAAAACCTTGAGAGAAAAACGTTAAGATCTTGTTTCAAACTCTCATAACTGGAGGAGCAATTTTTGGTTACACATAATAGACTTTGAATTATAACCTGTTAGAATTGATTGCAAAGAAAACTTAATTTTATTGTTCTCAGGTAAAAAAGCCAAATCTCTGTGTGTCAGCATAAAAGATAATTGCGTAAAAATACTTTTTACCCCGATGAGCTGTTTGACATATTTGTATAATAAGGTTCAAGGCACTGTGTTCAAAATGAAAGATACGACTGTAAACTTTGTTGCATCTACAGTTAAAAGAAAAATTTCAAAAACGAACAAAAAACTGGACAAATTTGCATTTTTTTTTTTAGGAATAATCAAAAAACAATGTCCTGCCCTGTATATTCTAAGAAACCAAAGTTTTTATGAAGTCCAAACTTCTGAATAGAAATGAAATTCATTATTTCATTCACTTTATTGAAACAAAGGTGGTAAGAACTTTCTATCACCTGTGCCAAAATGATTTCATAAAGTTCAATGCATTTTGATCTACAATTTTCACTGAATTAATCATATCAGCTTCAATTTCAAGAAGTATAGGGACATTTTAAAATCTACTATTTTAAAGAGCAAAGCTTAGTGCCCATACAGCCTATTTCTCAAGTTCCTCAAAAACTAAAAGAATGTAATTTTTTCTTTTCTTTTCTCTTATTTTGTAAATATTGTTCATTATTGTATTTCTTATGCCCTTAACTTTCTGATTGTGAAAAAATATTGCAAATGTAAACTAGTGTAATATTTAACCTCATCTTGTAAATTAAACATTCAGAGATCAACTAACATAAGAACTAGAGCTGTGATATAACCAGTAAATTAATTCATGTTAAGTCTGAAAAACATGCAGCGGAAGTTTTTTTCAGCTTGCATTTTTAATCTTCCGAATGGGCTAAATATTTTAAGAATTTTATTAAACGTCATGTTGTTGGAATGACTCATCTTTTCATTTGCTGGTGAGTGCAGATGTCTAATTTAAAACTTATCCAATTGTGATCATGTATTAACCAGAATGCAAGACATCTGTTCAGAGTACGTTCAAATCTCTGTTTTAGGGCTCCAAAAATAATTCATACCTCAGGATTTATTTTTTAACTTCTTAATGGACCTATGTAAATATCCCTGTTAAATGCTGTATAGTATGATAGGTGATGAGAAAATAAGTCAAATGAAAATAAAAACGAAAACTTCAATAAAACCCACACGTCTATTGCCTTTCACCTCTTTACCTTTTTAACGTACTTCCCTATAAGTATTAGGTGTCTAATATGAATATTAAATAGAATGAATATCAGGTGTCCCAAATTGACTAGAGGAAAATTTAGGGATGTAATTTAGGGATTTTTGTAAAAAGACGCATGATAAATTTCAATGAGATTGTATTTACTGATTTTGTTTTTCACATTCTGAGGTTGATCGTTCCCCCTGAAGTAAAAACAGAAAAAGACAAAAACTGGAACCCTCATTGAGGGTTAGATATTTGAAGCCGGGCTTAGAGACATCAATAGACTTTAGATCAATACGGTTTTTCTCTAGTTTTACTAACAGATAGCTCTGTAAAAGGAAATTTCACTCTAACCCTAGAAAAATATATAAAAAAAAACCTGAAATGGAGTTTTCAGTGATTTCAGCTTTGCAGTCCTAAGTGTATGCTTGTTGCTTAAATAGGCATTCTTTCTTATAAAAGTGTGTACATTCCTAATTAGCACACCTTACCAATAGCAGCACATCAGTTCAGATAGGATTTTTTTCAAGGACTCTACGTGGGTTGGTCTCTTAAGTGAGGGTATACCTCTTTGTGTAAGAAGTTGAAAAGTAAAGCATGAGAAAATGCTTTTTTGAACAGATGTTAGAAGCGAAAGGTCTACACTTAAGAGCAAATGCTGTTTACCCCTCTGTGATGTTATGATAAGAACGTGCCTTTGTACTGTTGGTATGGATTTTTTATTGAAAAATCCATTACAAAATCAGGAGGTAAGATAACTTTAAAACTTTGGATTATTTTAATAATTTATTTATTAAATCTGAAAGTTTGGGGTTGCTCAACTCATGCAATTTGGAACTGATTGTTTCAATCACGGTACATAAAAAGTTGCAAGCTCACCGTAACATTGAAAATCGGGGAACAGCACCTGCTCTTTAACTTTCACAGCTGTTTTTTGCACACCAAAAAAGCATTTTCCTCGTCACATTTCTCTGAAGGAGACATACAACATTATGAAATCTAATCTAAAGTCCATTCAATTCCAATCCAAGCAACATCTAAATATTTCTGTACGGACTTAGTTTTTTAATCTTTAGCCGCAGATGAATTTCAGACCGATGATGACTAGAAAAAACTTAAAAACAAACTGATTTGTAGTCTTGCTCCATTTTCACGAATTGTTGGATAATGCACCACTCAAAACAAGCTCAACAGCAGCATGCACGTCTCCACTTGTCATTTGAAGGGCTTGCGAATTGATTGCACTATCAGTGAACCCAAGTTCGACCATTTGCTGCTGCTGGGCCTCGTATGTAGAACCCTACAACAAGAGAGAGAAATCAGAAGGTAAAACAAACAGTAAAAAATGATGATGCGGGAGAGGTCATGATGTAAACGAGTTATGATAGATGCTCTGCAGCCCGTGACAAGATATACAATAAAAAACAATTTAAAAAGCGGGTAACAAGGCTAAAATTTTACACACACAAAACCAAAACGTTTCCGCTGAAAATTCAGCCATGTTCAGCTGGATAAATAAAAATAAAAATAGTTAAAAATCTAAAATAGTACCTGGCTATACCTTTCAATTGAGAATGTTATTGTCATGATGTAAATCCCAAATTTTGACCAACAAAAGCATAAAAGTAGGATTCCAAAATAATGTAATTCCAAATAATAAGTAATGGGCGCAAATTTTTAAGTACATATTTCTGATTCAAAAGTTTTCAGATTGTTCTAATGTCACTCAGTTTTCAAAAGAGCTCATTTCTATCTGCGTCAGAGTTTTGCTCTCAACAAAAAATCCATTTTGATAAGTTGACTGCCACGGTTCATTTAATTGGCATTAATGTATCCAGCAACCGACCCTCGCAAGATCAATTTTGCTGTGTCAACTAGGCCCTGAGAAATGCCCTATTTCTCAGCATTTTGGTGATGCAGTACTATATTTCTCAGAATTTTGTTGATGCAGTACTACTAAATGCCTGACAGAACGCACTACCGTCATTTTTCTAGGAGAATGTTTTTAAAAAAAATTAGGCAAAAACTGATACAGTTAGGCTTTTTCTGTTTGAATTCGTCCAGTTTGCAGAAACCTCCATCATCAGATAAGTTGTTCCCAATTCTGATTATTTGATAGTTTGCTTATTGATTGCACTTGAACATACCTGGGCAATGGTGGTATCAGACGAAAAAGGGTTAATTGCTTGTTGAACTGCCTCTGTCACCATAGCAGATGTTATTTCACCAGAATTCCGTCTCGAAGTAGAGGCTCCATCAACTATAATTTACAACAGAATGTACAAAAAGAATGTAAGAAATTATTGAAAAAAAATGAAAGAATGAGAGACAATGCAAATATTGATGACTGGAGTGAAAGGCCACATATCTCTGTTCGCAACATTGTAGACTTCCGATCGTACTTTATTTTTCCTCCGAGAACTAGTCGATGTAATTTCTTGAAAACTTCTTTGATTTTTCTTCTACGTCAGTAGAATATTCTGGATGAATTTCAAGCCATAAAGTTGAATTGATTCTCTTTGAAAAAATAAACTAGGAGTGGAAATTTTGAAACACTGCGATGAAGATGTGTGGTGTTGCCATCAATATGTAAGAGGCTAAGTACAAGTATTCATGGTTACTTGAGGGGGGAAGGGGGTAGAAGGTCTGAGCTATCCTTGCCGGGTCTCACAAGATGAAGAGGAAGAGACTGGAAGGGGACTGGTGATTTTATCACTTAACTAGCGACCCGTACGTGCTTCGCACGTATGAAACATACAATCAGAGAAAACAGAATTCATCTCACAATAATCAATAATCAGTAGGACATGAATCGTTGCGATGTATTATACGACATTATAATGCGGCATTACTATTATAATGCATTATACTGGATTATAGGCATTATAAATCATTATTACCACGTGGGAATGAAATGTTGCAGAATGAATTGAAAATCATGTTGGCAAAATTTATTACAAAAATAGTATAACATGTAGGTACATAACATAAAGGTAATACAAATTAAATGATTAGAGCGTGTATATTTTATTACATTATAGGTATATTGTAATCATTTTTGTCATTGTTGGAAATTTTGATAGGTTGAAATTTGATAGTTTGAAATTTGATAGTTTGAAATTTGAGAGTTGATAAAAAAGTTGAGTTGATTTGAGAGTTGAGTTTGATGCTTGAAAATGTTGGCACTTTATTTAGTTAAGGTGATTCGTAGAAATAGTTACTCCAAAAAATCATGTTAGAGCAGAGAAGTACGGCAATGACGTAAGGACGTTTTCATTGCCATACTGCAAGGAAAAATTTCCGTCCGCAATCCGAGCAATTCCAAAAGGAAGAAAACATATATATAAAGAAAGAATGATCACATAGAAACATTCACATACAAATCCATCCCTACCGAATATGTGAATAGCTTCGACATCATCTTGAGATACTATTCGGAAATCTTCAAATTTAGACGACTCAGCTTCATGCAAAACAAATATCAAAAAACGAATTTAGAAAACTGGTGCCCTCATCCTGGTGCCTTCAATGCCTGAAATCACTTTATAGACCATTGAAAAGCCCTATGCAAAATGTCAACTTTAAAATCGAATTTTTAGGGGTCCCGCCCGCATTGGCCCTAAACGTCAACGTGAATATTCCATGAGAATTTGCCAGAAATTGTTCAACGATGATTTTCTTGGCGGGGTGTGACAATATTATTGATTTTCTTTTTTAAAATAAGGGCGTTAAAGTTGGTTTGAGTTAAAAAGATTCCTGCTTGGCAC